AATGGAGGTATGATAGAAAATGCACTACCTTTGATGGTCAAGGGCTCAAAGGCGCGCTCGAATGGAGGTAGGATAGAAAATGCACCACCTTTGATGGTCGAGGGCTTAAAGGCTCGCTCGAAAAGAAATAAGATGAGGGCTCGAAGATGCTCTCGAATGGAGATAAGATGAGGGCTCGAAGGCGCGCTCAAATGGAGGTAGGATAGGAACTGCACTACCTCAATAGTGGAAACTGAAAGGTAGTGGAAAAATAGAGAGATTTTTCAGGTGGCCTAATTCTCATTGGCGGGCTGGCCAGGTTGAAAAATTCTCAAAAGTGAAAATTTTTCAAAAGCAATTTCAATGTTTGCCGTTTCAGGTTGGTCTTTCGCTTGATGGATTCTGTTAGAATTTTCTCTAATAAAAATTTACAACTCTCATTGTCCAATGTCTCAAAGTTTAAATGATATGCATGCATTTTTACCTGATTTGAAATATAGGCCCCCATTTCTTCTTAATCTTCTCGTTGCTTGGTTGGTGAGATCTTGCTATCTGATTTGAGTCATCTTTGTCGTTTAGCTTTCTAGCCCACTCGAGTTGGCCCTTGTAAGTCTATTTCCAAATTTATTTGCATAACTCAGTATTTATGGTACCCATCATGACCCACTTGCTTGCTAAAGATTTTATGATTCGTCAAGTAATTTGAGAGGAGCACTCATTACTCCTCGTTTTACTGCTAGAAACATTCGGTGTCACTTGTTGAAAGGATCGAGCTGTCTTTTATAAACCAAAATGCCCCCTTGTCTGGTTAAAGGAAATTACCATCTCCTTTTCTAGAATTTTTCCTTTTAAACACAATGTTGCCCCCTTGTATTGGTTATTGCCTCTAAGTGTGCTCTCTTAGTGATTTGGACAAATAATGGTTCTAAGAGGTCATTCTCTCATTTCTATCCTTTTTCTGTTTGGTGAAGGAATATGGGTCTAGAATGAATCTTGAAATCTTGATCTTGCATTTTGAAAACAAAAAATTATTTCGATGTGAGTCTAAAACAATTTGCTTTTGAAATCTTGCAACTCCTTGGTTATTTTTCTTTCTTGGAAAAGAGATTATTTGTTCTTGTGTTTGGCAATGAGGTCTTCGGTGAAAATATGTCATGATATTATGACCTTTTGCTTTTATAGGTTTTCAGAGTGGAGGGCTCGAGAAAAAGCTCGAGGTTTTGTATGAGAAGAATTTATCTCTTTTTTCACATTTAATTTTTATCAGCATGAATAATAATGAGTAGTTTATTCTTGATGTCATGAATCTTATGAAAAAGTATTCTTTGCATTTTGAGAGCATTGTTTATTATTCTAGGTTGCTTGCTTGCTTGATTAGAAAGGACTTCTATAGGCACGTAACGTAGGCTGTGGTTTTTGGCTATGAAAGAAAAGGATTCACAAGGCTTAGAGAGTGTTTCAGGGCTTCAAAGACTGAGAATCACTATTAACAGTTTGACTATTGATGTCATTCATATTTTCTTTTGCCGCTCTTCTTTGATTTGCTGCTTTTTTTTTCATTGCTCTGCTTATAGAGCATACTCACTTTATCTTAGTTATCACTTTTTCTTGTGATTTGGGCATGCCCCCTAGCATTTGAGTTTCTTGAGCTTTTTTTGACTTTTGATATTATGACCTTTTGCTTTTATAGGTTTTCAGAGTGGAGGGCTCGAGAAAAAGCTCGAGGGTTTGTATGAGAAGAATTTATCTCTTTTTTCACATTTAATTTTTATCAGCATGAATAATAATGAATAGTTTATTCTTGATGTCATGAATCTTATGAAAAAGTATTCTTTGGATCCTAGTCAGGATTTTTTTCTATGAAAAAAAAAATTGTTCAGGCTCAAAAAGGGTTTGCAAGGGATGTATTTATTTTAGAACGTGAAAGGAAATAACAAAGATGGCCTTTCCTCATTTCAAGCGCAAGCAGCTATGATCAATAAAATTTGACCTCGTATAGTATGATGGTTTATTCTTTGCAAAGATGCATTTCATGAGTTATGAGCAACAAGTCACTACATACCATTATTCATACATTTAAAAAAAAACACATGATTCAAGAGTAATGGGGTAAAGGTGTTTATTCATTTCTTTTTTCTTTGGTTTATAATTTAGTCACCTTAATGATGGAGTTGCTTCATTCACTTGTCATTCTACAAGCAGAATGTCAAAAAAAATATCATTTTTGAATAAACATCAAATTATTTTTGAAATCAAAATGCCAGATCAAATTTTCAAAACTCCAATAAGGAAACTGATTTTGGTAAAAGAGATGAACTGCGTTTATGAGATCATGCAAGGCTTCCAAAGTGTATTTGTGAGTTCTTATAAGAAACTCTCTCAAGAAAAGGAATAATGCTTGGTTGTGAACATGATTGAATGACAAATTTATTATTTCATTGAAATTTTAGAAAAGAAGTTTAACAATAATGAACTTATGCCAACATCTTGGGCTATGAACACTGACATGATAACACATAAAGGGGCTAAACATTTAGTGATCATTGATTGGAATTTCTAGAATTTTTCAATTGTTCATTCTCCTTGACAAGGGCATCTTTTCAACAGTCAATTGAAGTCATTTGTAGATCATTCTTGACCTAATATCACCATAGCTTTATGTTGAATATAGTTGATTTCTAGGAGTCGATGTGAGGCAATTAACTATAGGAATGATAAGTGTCTTGGCAACCACCTTCAGTGAAACTGTTCTTCTCACTCAGGTTAGCAATCTTACCAAACCCAATGGCTTGTTTAATCCTCTCAGCTATAACAACCAGGTCAGTGAAATGTTGTGCAAAGCTTCTAACCAAGTATTCAAAGTACAGAGCTTTAAAGTTGTTGGAAAATAAACTAATCATCTCTTTTTCCAACATAAGAGGGTTAACTTGTACAGCCACCTCCCTCCATCTTCGGGCGTATTCCCTTATGGACTCCTTGTTGTCTTTCTCCATAGCTTGCAAGCTTAACCGATTAGGGTCCACGTCTATATTGAACTTATATTGCCTCATAAAGGCATCAACTAAATCCTTCCATCTTTTAACCTTAGTATTATCCAACCGCATATACCAAGTGAGGGCAATGTCACTCAAATTGTCTTAAAAGAAGTGAATCAACCGTTTCTCGTTATAGCCTACTTCATCTATTTTATTGCAGTATGCCTTGAGATGAGTTACAAGGCATTGAGTTCATATATATTTGATGAATTCTGGCACCCTAAACTTCCTAGGAATGACTGCGTTAGGTACCAAACACATCTCAGCAACTTTTATGTGGTCATGTAGGCTAGTTCCCTCAAATGGCCTCAGCCTTTGTTCCAAGGCAACCCATTTATCCAGGCCATCTTATTTTACTATCTCGTTCTTTTGAGATTCCTTTATTGTAAGGTCAATGGTAGATGACATTCTAATGGGATATGCTAGTTGAGCAAATTGGAAATACATAGCCTATTGAGACACCTCAATTGCCCCTAGATTCTGTGGATTTCCGAGCATAGGTTTAGGCTGAGTTGTAGATTTTGCTTCTTTTGGTTTAGATCTTAAGGCCTATTCAAGTAGGCTAGTAAGCTTTGTGACTTCTTCTCTAAGACTTTCCGTCTCTTTTCGGTGTTGGGCTTCCAACTAGGCTTTTTCTTCGTTTTCCATTTTTTTTTTCACAATCAAGTGTTATAAGCGTGTTTCGATGGGGGACCTATATTTCACCTGGAGTGCAATATTATGACAGGTCATAATTGTATGTTCAAACATGCATGAAGATGAATACAACATATTGGATATGAATTTGCCTTTTGGAGGGTGACATAATGATCGTTATTCTTTAAATGTGTGGTCAGATTTGAATTCGATATTCATTGCAATGTCGAGAGGAGATCTGTTTAGCTTTTGGTCATCTGAGCTTTCAGTCACATTCTTGGTGTCTTTCACTAAACATCTAATATCTTTGAGTAACGGTATCTCACCGACATCCAGTCTAAAGCAGTCTCCCTCGGTCATTTGTAAGAATTCAAACTTGAGTCCATACTCAATAATTGTTGTCTTAGGAATAGTAGTCATTATGTCACCCAAAAGCCTTGTAATAATGATGCTTACACGTTTAAGCTTTATCTCAGTAAAGTTATGCAGGGATCAACCTAAAGGATAAGTTCTAATCATTAAATGTTTTAGGTTAATTTTGCTATCTAGTCTCAAAGGTCTTTCGCATGCTCAGTGATCGCCCTCAAAAGGTTGATATGAGGTTTACAAGCAGTATGAAGATAGAGGCCCTGAATAATATCAGTTCGGCATATCAACCACTATCGAGCAAACAATCATGCGAGAGTTGGATAGTTTCACGAGCTTTACCCAGGCTAAAGCCATTGGGGTGCCGTTACTCCTCCACTTATCTTAAAGTTGATACCACATGTAAAAATGAGATAAGTGATGTGTGAAGACCTTAGATCCGTATCCAATATATATGCATGATAAACATGAATAACTATACATGTTAAAACAAATAAAAAAAAAAAGAGCAAAAAACGGTACGACAAAAAGTGTTTAGCAATAAAAAAGACAAATAGCAAAGCTTAGTCCTAAAGTCCCCAGTGGAGTCGCCATTCTGTCGCACCCGACATCGCGGCGGCCTTAAAAAAATTAATTCATGGAATGGAAAGAATGGATTTCTGGCATCCTATTCTTTGATGGGGGAATGGTCTTGTTTAAGGAGTCGCCACCTAGTATTATGGTCACTAGGAACCCTAACTGGTCAACAGAGATTCTATGGTTCGGGACTGGTTACGTAAAAGAGAAGATATTATCACCCCTTAAACGTCCTGTCTGAGGCAGGCTACATTGCTAGTTTCGTCTTAAATTGCTATATGTTTATTAGTTTGTGGTATGATAATTTGCTTATAATATTCCTGACTCTAGCGTTAGGGAATATTTAACTACGGATATTTCCAACTCTGGCGTTGGTAAATATTACGCAGCTATAGAAAAAAAATAAATCTAAATCAATATTTTTTATTCCTGACTCTGGCGCCAGTGAATAAACAAATCAAATAAATTTATTTTTTACACATGCACATATTTTTTTTATTTTTCTAGCTAAATAAAATAAAATACAAAGAATAAAAAATAATATAAATTTGAACTAGTATTTTTATTCCTGACTCTGGCGTCAGTGAATAAACCAATAAATTTACATTATTTTTATTTATACATACATATTTTTTATGTAACTAAATAAAAGTAAAATATAATAAAATAAAATAATTTTACATCATTATTTTATTCCTGACTCTGGCGTCAGTGAATAAATCAATAAATTTACTTGATTTTATTTTATTTTTGCATGCATATTTTTTATGTACTTTTTATATTTTATTTTTCTACTTTCTATTTTTTTTATTTTTTTGGGCTAGGCCCAGCTCAGCATATATTCTCTTTTTAGGCTGGGTTTGACCCAGCCAGCCCGGCCCGGTCACTGGCCCAAGCCAGTGACCCGGCTGGGCTGAGCATCACGCGTGTGCTAACACGCGTGTTGCAGCGCTGTGCAAGTGAATTAAAATTCACTTGCACAGTGCCACTGTCACCTAAATGAACAAAACGCAAGAAGGGAAAGCTAGCTTACCTGTTGTGCTGGAGGCCGAAGACGCTCGCAGTGCTGATGGATTTTCACCTATTGCTTCCCTTTATCTTCCTCCTGTGCTCACTTTGTTGGCGTTTTCCTTTTGCTTTCTCTCCTGGTTCTGGAAACGCCGAAGGTATTAGCAACGCCGAAGGCAGTAGCAATGGTCTCTTTGACTTTCCTCTACTTGTTTTCTTTCCTTCTGCTTCTTTCTTTGATTGGGTTCTGTCCCCTCTGGTTTTGAGATGAAGGCAAGTAGACAATGGTGATGCCGGTTGTCAATAGTCTTTGGTTCTTTGTTGTTCTTTTTCTGCAGGGACGAAGACAATGGCAGGGCTGATCTGAGGCTCTCCTTTGCCTTTCTCTCCTTCTCTGTCTGCTGTTCGTTTTCTTTTTTTTTTTCTTTTCCCCTGCTTTCTCAGTCCTTGTGATGAAGAACAAAGGACAGTGCTGGCTTCTCCTTTCAAATTTAGGTCTGGGTATTTGCTCTGTGTTTTTTTGTTTTTTCACCGTGCGTTCCTCGTCTTCCGCACGTCCTCTGTTCTTGTCCTGTTCATCAAAAATTCCCCTCCTGATTCTATTTCTTCCTCTGATTTTCGGCCCAATTCCCCCTTATTTTCTTCTCTGGTTCCTGGCCTCCTCTGTTTCGGTTCGTGCTCTGCCTCTCAGTTTTTTTTGGTTCTCACTGCCTGGGTTTCTACTTTATTCGATGTTCTTGTGCTTGTGTTTCTCCCTCTCAATTCTGCCCCCTTTTTTTTTTTAATCTAAAGATGAAGGCAAAGTTGGCGTCTCCTCGTCTCTCATGTTTGCTCTGTTTTTTTTATCCCCTCTGGTTCTCTGCCCTGCTACTCACTGTCTTTTAAAAGGCCAGAGAGCCTCAACAACCATTACCCCACGAACGGGATCGTGGTCCACAATTTGTTGCAGATTTCCTGTTGAATCAGTTTCTGCATGCGAAACGGAAGGGATGAAGAACAAAGCTTCCAACGACGCCGTTTGCATCCTTGAGGCTATTTTTCATCTTGGTCCCTAATGTTTTGAAATGTATCGATTGGGTCCCTTAATCAATAAATTTAATTTTTTCCTTTGGATTAATTTCAATTAAATCCCTGAATTACTTAATTTATTAAATCAAAGTTTAATTAAGTCTGCAAACTTATTAATTCTCTAATTAAGCCCTTGATTTAATTAATTAAACTAGTCAAGAGTTTAATTAAATCCTTAAACTTCCAATCATGTTGCCCTTAATCCAAATTTTAATTCACTCTTCATTTATTTTATTTTTACTTGTTTTTCATTATTTTTTTAAAATAAAACAATAATAAAAAATAAGGTCAAAATTGGGTTATGACAAAAAGTATTTGTGTTTTCGGTGGATCTAGTCTTGGGAAAAAAAGGAATTTTTAGAATCAGCAAATCATCTTGGTCAGGTGCTAGCTGAACTAGTGAATAAATTTGTAAAAATTTGAATTTTTAATGGAGAAGAAATACTTTTTCTATGCCTTTTTGTTTTTGTTTACCCTTTTTATTATTACTATTTTTATAAAAGAATGAAAAAAAGGATTGCTCCAACAAATTTGCATTTAACAGTAATGGTCCACAGATTGAACATAAAGTAGAAAAAAACAAGACGCAAAAAAATAAAACTAAAACAAGGTACCCCCCATAAATAAATCATCAAAGATTCCTAAATATTTATGGAATTTTTTGATATGGAAAAGGGGCTTATTTGACTAGATATCAAAATAAAAGGGGAGTAAAATACATGGAAAAGATATAAGGATGTGTTTTTCCAAAAACACCCATTGCAAACACAATTTGGGCCGACTGGGCCTAAGGCCTAGACCTGACCCACTCTTTTTTTTCTTTCTTGCATTGGGTTGGATATAGCCTAATCGTATGGGCTAGGCTGAATCTAGCCAATCCTACCCGTCCAGGTTACTAGTTCAAACCAGTAACCCGACCAGTTGGTCCTTTGCAAGCGTGTGTGTACTGTTCACGCACGCTTGCTATAGTGATAATAAATTAAATAAGTTGGGGAGGGAGTGGGAAACACTTATGATTAGTACTTAAAAATGCATTTTTATCAAGGTTTTATATCATTATTTTGAACTTGAAGTATTAATAACTTCTTAATTAAAACATGTTTTAATATCTAATATTATAAGATACCTTTAATTTATGGTAAATATTCATTTTAAATATAGGCTTATCACATAAATGAAAGGATTGATTGATGAGTTTAGGAACTGAAATTGAAAGGACAAAGAGATGACCAAACTTAGAGATGAGATATCGGTGTAATCCAAATCGAAATACCGTTAGGTAATTGAGTCATATCTTGAGCTGTAGATCTTGGATTTAGGCCTACTTTATATGGATGGAAAGGTAAGACATAGGCCTACAACTTTCATATGGAGCTCAAGATTTAATAAGCCCATTTTCAAGTCCGAATTATAGCAACAAGGAAGAAGTCTGAACCTGTCCTATAGCCTGAATACTGTTTAGTGTTTGACCTATATCTGAAGTTCTAGAATTCCAAATGACCTTTATTTTTTTTTCTAGAAATATGAGACAATTTCTTACAACTTTCATGTTTTCAAGTGGTTCTAATTTTAACATTATTAATGATATTTTGGGAAAACAAGATAAAATAAGGATTGTCACTAAGTCAAGAATTGGTCACCCACTCATCAATTAGTCATCAAATCAACAGTTTTTAAAGAATTTTTTCCCATCTCACATAACAAACTTTTTCAAAAAATAATTCACCACTTTCACTCAAAAACTAGGAGAAACATTTTACCAATATTGGGATAGGTATCGAGACTTGCTTAATACATGCACTCATCATGGTTTTGAAACATGGAGATTAGTTTCATATTTTTATAGGGGTTAATGCCTAAAGATAGGCAAATGGTTGAATTGATGTGCAATGGAACTTTTAAAGATAAAAACCCTGATGAAGCAATAAAGTACTTAGACTTGTTAGCTGAAAATGCTTAAAATTAGGATACCATAGGTACATATAAGGCACCGAGTAAAACTCAACCTTATACATCTAGTGGAGGTCTGTTAGGGAGGATCATAACCTCCAAGCCAAGTTTGCATCATTAGCTAGAAACGTTGAGGTACTAGAATTGAAAAAGAGTCAATTAAAATCTGTTGAAAACATTATGTGTCAAATATGTGAAACCAATGAACACT